ACTTTCAGACAATTTTTTACGCAGTATACGTACCTACTGCAACGTATCTCTTTCATCTGTTCAGTTTAATCCGACAGAAGAATGACGTCATTGATAGAATCTCCGTGCTCATGCAGCTCACATACCTACATATACCGTGATAGCGAAGAGAGCAGTCAGTGCATGCTGGGATGAACCACGAGACACATAAAGACATGTGGTAACCATGGCTCATACAGAAATGCACTTACTGCTCTCTTCGCTATCAAAGCAGATACGGTTACGCGGCGTCATTGGAACTTAATTGCGATGCGGCGCAGCCGGTGCAACCATAGGCGGTTCTACGGGGGTGCCAGTGGGTGCCGGGCACCCCCAAGCAAAAATTAAGTACGGTTATCGGAACCGTGAAATTACTGATTTCAAAGATTCTGTATTTGCTTGAGAAAAAATCCCAGCAATTAATTGAAAATATTTTAAACAGAATTAATATTGATAGCCGTGTATTGCAAAGATTCTACTGTTTTTTTATGGTAAGATTGTAGTTTTGATGGAAAGTTTTGCTAAAAATTTTCTACATTGAATTTATACGTATTTAAGTAGAAAGGAAGGAGAGAAAAAGAGAAAGGAAGGTAGGAAAGGGATAAAACTTGAGGGCCGAAACTTAGGCCTCCCCTAAGCGACCGTCCCCTTCGGGGCCGGTCTCTGACATTTTCCTCCTCTGGGCACCCTCGATCATGAAGATCTAGAACAAATCCTTCACCCTCAGCGATTTATACGACGACAAACGCCGCGGACAGCCGAATCATCAGCTAACCGAAAAAAAAGCGCCTGGAAATAACGAAAAACCGCGTATCTCTCTGCAGGACGAGCGGGAAAGTGGAAACCGATCTCTCAAAGGGCGTAAAGGGCGCGGGACCGGGGACCCGCTGCGCGATCCCTCTACTTTTTCGGCCATCGTGGGACCAGGACTGTCAAGCCGGTTTGCGCCCAGATCGGCCCGGCGTGATCCCCCCTGAATTTTGACCCGAAGGATCGATCCTACGGAATTATATGTTGTGATGATGATACAATGATATAACTCTGCTATCTGCATTTAAATTGAAGGGGTGTGAATTATGACTGAAGTTGCTAAGGCACCTAAATGAAAATTTTCATTCTACTACTGCTACTACCACCACTACCACCACCACTACTACTACTACTTCTACTACTTCATTACTACTACTACTACTACTACTACTACTACTACTACTACTACTACTACTACTACTACTACAGCTACTAATACTGCTACTACTGCTACTACTGCTACCACTACTACCACTACTACCACTACTACTACTACTACCACTACTACTACTCCTACTTCTACTACTACTACTTCTACTACTACTACTACTACTACTACTACTACTGTTACTACTACTGTTACTACTACTTACACTATTACTACTACTACTGCTGCGGCTGCGGTACGTTTTTAATGCAACAGAACTATCACACCAGCTCAGCCTCATTGTCAGATGCCAGAAAATTACGTGGCTCCTGCAAAGCTGCCGGCGGCAAATAGCATTACAGGGGCATTAAACTGTCGTCACTAATTCGTAGGCGTTGTGAAAGTACAATGCCTGTTCAGAAATTAATGCAACGGTTCGTTTTGTAAGAAAACTACGGCAAATATTGGAATTTAGTTGTTACGGCCTATCTCAGCTTAAGAATGAGACTTTCACTAGCTGTTTGTTTAAAATTTCATTAGTTCATAGAGATTCTTTGGGACATATTTTACGGATCGCTTTAAGACGTTAGGGTTCGTTTTGGAAACGGAGAGAAGGTAAGCTATGCGATAACATATCCTCGTGAAAAAACTTCACAAAATTATTTATTTAGGTACCGAAGTCTACAACATTGCTGATTTTTCATGGATGATGGGTAACTTTGCGAGATTTTTTAAGCGCTCAGCCGATAGGGAGCTCTTTTTGACGTCGACTTGCCTATAGAATTCTTAAGTATACTGGTGGCAATGCGTTCAAATGACGGATAGATGCCTCATAACCTCACATACTTATAATAGATTTATCTGTTAAACATTTATTCAATGCTTCTGTTATCAAAGAGAGGAGGGCGATAACAGTTTTTCTATAATTTATGTTTTTAACGGTGGTGTACTTTTCTCAAAATTGATACTTGCAAGTTTGGTGAGGCGAGTTTTTTCACTCAGCGTTGCCCATCTTCTTCGCGAGAACTTAAAAAACGCACCCATTTAGAAAGCAGCTGAGCGCTTTTCTGATACGAAAGTATTTGAACTTTCCTGCATGTTTATTTTTCGAGAGATCTTCCACCGCGTTTTATGAAAGCATTTCATCTTCTCTCCACTGTTACACGGCGGCCCCCGGGTCGGGCTCCTTAGGGGCCAGGTGGGCGGCCCTCGGCTTTGGCTCCTTAGTTGCCAGGTGGGCAACCCCCGGCTTGGGCTGCTTAGGGACCAGGGTGGCGGCCCCCGGCTTGGACTGCTTAGTTGCCAGGTGGGCGACCCCCGGCTTGGGCTGCTTAGGGGCCAGGGGGGTGACCCCCGGCTTGGGCTGCTTAGTGGCCAGGGAGGCGACCCCCCGCATGGGCTACTTAGTTGCCAGGTGGGCGGCCCCCGGCTTGGGCCGCTTAGGGGCCAGGGGGAGACCCCCGGCTTGTCGATTTCCTTTGACACTTTTGCAGTGGTGAATGCATAGCTAAAGTGCGCTACAGCTACAATTGTATATAGCAAATGGGTAATTTTTATAAGAGGATTATAAATAAACGAGTGGTACGGAAGATAACAGAAGAATATGAACTATGCAAAACGATAATCCGGATATCGGAACTTGGCTGTTTTGAAAACGCCTTCAAATGCGCCTTCAAATGACAATACCTCACACATTGCGGAGAGTTCGAATAGTTGTATCATTGCGCCTTAGAAATGCAACGGAAGATTACAATTGAAATAGCCTTCATGCACGCTGGGCGTGTCGATTTCCTTTGACATTTTTGCAGTCATGGACGCGCTTAAGTGCGCTTCAGCTAGAATTGTATTTAGCAAATGGGTGGTTTTTCTACGAGGATTAAAAATAAACGAGTGGTACGGAATATAACAAAAGAATATGAACTACACAAAGCGATAATCCGGGTATCGGAACTTGGCTGTTTTGAAAACGCCTTCAGATGCGGCGTGATACCTCACGCATTCCGGAGAGTTCAAATAGTTGTATCATTGCGCCGTATGAATGTGACGGAAGATTTAAATGGAAATAGCCTTCATGGAGCATCGACGACCAACTAAATCTTATCTGATAAGGAATTTTAAGTGTGAAACCCTTTTTTCAGTCTTTAAATGATCCAAATCCACCAACAAGTTTAAAACACTAATTGCAAAAATGCGTATCTCCTGATGAAGTTTCGATTCTTAGTGCCGAAAACGCGAATATCGGCATTTCTGCTGTATTTTCTAACAGTTCGAGAAATTATTGAAACTGCTGATGGAGTTTAAAAAAACATCTAATTTTTGCTATCCTCAAGAATTATTACCCTTCTACCGACAATAAAGAGGAATGCAGACAGTTTTTTTACTCTCCTGCAAAATCGTGTTTTCCGAGATTCGCACTTCTGCACTTTCACCATCGATAAAGTGCTTTAGTATTGTTTAATTAACATTCGCACGGGCAGTGATTGTGATTGTTCAGTCAGTAATTTATTTTCTCATTAATTAATTCACAAACATTCTCAGGTATATATGTTGCAGGCGATTAGCAATCGCCGGCAAATTGCAATCTATTCGTGTTTAATCAACAAATTAAATCGTTTTAAAGTGAAAAAACGAGATTGGAAATAGGGATTATCATGCTTTGAATTCAAACATACGTTAGCCTCTTCTTGGATGCCAGCTAGCACACTCGCGAGTTCGTGAAATGTCATCAATAATCTGTGTTAGGTTCGGTTAAGCAACTAAACTAACTCCTTGGCAAAGCGGAGAGTTTCGCTGGGTTTGAAGGCGTAAAGCAATCTTTACTACATCGATGTTATCGTAATTACAATTTGACGAATTGACAAGTACGGAGCTTGCAAATTGCCGGCGATTGCTGACTTTCTGCGACTTATACACTGATAAAGATTTCAGAGATATTTATTTCCATCTTGAAGTTTACATGTACTTTTCTCTCTTCTAATCAGCATGTATGTTTCTTTTTTGTTTCTGGTGTATCCCTCGGAATTCTTGGATTCAAAAATCGATGATCTTCCTGGACAACGCAAATCGTCAATTAAAAAATTTAGATCGTTCAAGTGAACAGGACAATTAATTGATTCACTTTCCAGAAAAACTTAGACGTCCGTAAAGTGAGTTTACGCTGAGAATTCGAACGTCAAATCCTTTGACATAAAAACTCTCTTAGGATCCCATGTTAATTTCAGGCTTGGAGGTAAGGACTTGAATAGCTCCAACNCCCCCCCCCCCCCACCCTGTTAGCTCCGGCTAAGAAAACGATCACTCCGTGTTGGGTACGCTTTCTCAGAAGACACCACCAATCAGCATTCTTCATAACGTTGGTTTTCACTCATATACAGGGTGTGCCAAAAAAGAGTATCTACCTTATATATCTTTTGAACCGATTCGAATATCGAAAAACGCCGGAAAAGTGTTTAGTTTAACTTTGAAGGCAACCAAAAATACAAATTTGCCGTAAACATGCCCCCATTAAAATATTAAGTGCCTGTTTCGGCGTTTTTCAATATTCGAAAACGTTTAGTAGATATTTAAGGTGGATACTTTCTTTTGGCTTTGGCGCACCCTGTATAAGCACGGGAGACAGGGCGAATGGCGCGGCGCAGAGGCCCGACACGACATGGTTGCAGCTCCGGTCGACAGAGCGCAGCACCTAAACACTACATGGGCGCCTGGCGCTCGGAAAGTAGTGCCAACACTCATCGGAGTGGCGTTATGTAAGAGCCGGCTAGCTCCGTTGATAAGCGCCGGCTCCGTGTCCTCCTGTTAGGTTGGTGAAAGTGTGAGCTCTGTGAGACAGCTGTTTCGAGCGATGCGTGAGTTGCCAGAGAGACCTGTCGGGCAGTGCCTCAGCCGCCGCGTCGAAAGGGACAGTGTTGCGTGGTTCCAAGGTTACTTCGGTGTTTCTAGTGAAATAACAGTCCGTTCTGACGCGCACCTTATCAGTGTTTCCGGCGCCTAGTGCCGAATTCCTTCGTTTCCTTCGCATCTAACGCCTCCACCAAGGGGATCATATCCGTTTCATTTGCGTTACGGGTATACATTCGATTGCAGGTATTGTAGTCTTTCAACTTTCTATGCACTGTCGGTATTGTAGTCTTTCAACTTTGAGCACACTGCCCGTGTGTCAGTAATGCGTGTTACGTTTTCGTCGCCCCGCCGTCTGATAACTAATGTCGTTTCGCGTTGTCACTACGATCCATTATCAATCGCTAGAATGTCTAGGTTAGCACTAAATTAAAATAAACGTCTTTTTTTTCTTAATCTTTTCCCCCTTGTGCTATTCTTCATTTTTCCAAAAAGTCCCGAACAATAATCATGCGTTTACTAACATGTGCTTTAATTTCAAAACCGGAGAGTATGAATGAATAATATAACATGACTGAATCACCACAACGTTTCTAAATTTTAAGCTAAGTATTTATTTTTTAGAGGGATACTTAAACCAATCAGTTTAATTAAGTAATGGCTTGACATTATTTTACATACTCACACAAATGGTAGGAAAAAAAGAATAAATAAAAGGAGAAAAAAACTTTTACCAAATAACGCAAGAGCGACAATTTTGAAACGTCGCGATTAAGATTCGTGATTTTGAGAACTAAATGAAGCATGTTTTTGCGCGTTATTTATGACAATTGTATTGGTTCAATTAGCAACTTCAACCTGACGTTTCAACGTTACCCTCGACTAACTAAAACTAAAGTAATTTTTTGTGTGTGTTTGCAAATGTTCGCAGGTGTTTCTATTTGTATTGGTTTTTAGTCGCTGTGTTGTGCATTCAGTCGTTTTTGACTCGAACAATACTAATTTTTTTTGTTGCAAAAAAAAAGTTTAATGTAGCATTGAGAAACTCCGCTTATATCCGAAATATATAATCATGCCGCATGCTAACTTTTACTATTACATACAACAAATGCAACAAGTGAACCGTAAGAAAGAGTATAAACAAAACGGTTTTTTTTCGCGACGGGAAATTGAACCGATTATTTTCTAAAGCACGTAAGTGCCAACCCCTATTTTGGTGGTGGAGGGGTTGTTTTTTCTTTGTTTTTTCTGGTATAATCAACCATGTCTAATTTCAAAACAGCCTTCTAAAAAAACATACATTTTTTTTAGAATTCAAATAATGTCAACAAACCGAATAAAACGGGTTCTCTTGCATTCGAAATTTTGGCGCTTATATGATTTGGAAAGTAATCGGTCCAATTTCACAGTGGGTAGGCCCGAGCTTAGCGGCTACATATGTTTGACGGTGATCGCGATCACCACTAGTCAATCACAACTAAAAGGAATGGTTATTTATCATAGTATAATCTCACAAAAGATTACTATCCAAAGGGTCACAAAATCATAGTAGAATACCCATAGCGATGAAACAGTGTGATTAATCGCAGTGTAACCTAAGAAGAGATTATTTCCCAATTGATCCAGGCAAAAAGGATTTGGGGATGCAAAATATAGGTGAAATCAGGTTATGGTCGATTCCTGCGTAATTTTTGACCCCAAATTAGAATTGTTGGTTTCCCAACAGCTTCCACCTGTCGCCAAGAGGCTGGTGGGGGGTCTCTTGTCTTAGCATTTGCAGTAGTTGGTGTTATGAAAAGCAGATCTATGATGGAGTGCTGCATGTGGGAAATTCGAGAAAGTTGAGATCGCTTAAATAAATTTTGTGAGAACCGCCAAACCTTCGCAGGCCGATACGCGAACAGATCATCAGAGGAGAAAACAAATTGATTTCTGATGATGATTATGAACTGACTCAGGACTCTGCTTATCAAAAAACTTATTTTGTGACAGTCGGGGTACCAGACTCTGGCGTGGAATCGTTCCATTTGGACCATTTTGAAGTTCAAAAATCGGAACACGTCTGTATGATTGACTTGGTGTTTTTTTATTGCGGGGGCCTGCTTTTACAAAGATTTAAAACATAAAATACTTCTATATCGACTGTGAAACCACCAGACTACGTACGTCGTTTAAAAATTTTCGCTTCCATTCTATTTTTTTGAAAATTAACAAATCATTATTATTTCTCGAAGTTTTCTTCAAGTTTTCTTCGAGCAGATAAGAAAAATCATGGAAGTTTTCAAGAATTGTTGTTGAGTAGTTTTTTATTTAGAAAATGAAGGAGGACAGGAAGTCTGTAACGTCGCAAACCAAGATACGTGGTCTGGTATTTTCACCGTCGACATAGGTATTATTTACCGGGTAGAATCAGGAGCTTAAATGGTAATTTAGATCATAGTTATATTATAAAACACGATGCATCAAAGACGCACATGAAAGATTTGCTGCATGGCTGAAAGCTTGCTTGGGCATTTACTTTTAAGACATTTTCAGCTTTTGCTTGGCTATGGTAGCCCCTCCGCTCCTAGTTTGGACCGAGACAAGTAAACAAATCAGCGATGTAGCTCTAGACGTGATAAGAATTTCTCAATTTCCAACTTTTGACACAACTTCTAACCAAATTTTGATGAATATTTTCTCCCAAAATAACAATTTTTCCGCGAGGGTCATTCATTTCTTTCTAGATATTACAATGCCTCCTGATCGGGTTTTTGTCCATTGGTCCCCAATAAAAGCCCCATGGAAAGCTTAAAACTGGTGGACCTATTATAATTAAAGAATGACACTGGCAAGGCAATCCTCAATATCCATGGTGAAATCTGTAGTAGTGTGTATTTTGGTTTGCTGCGTTGCAGACCTGTGTCATACTTCATTTTCAACGTTGAAAATTACTAAACGTCACTTTTTTTTAAAATTTAGGGGACTTTCCTTCTCTGTATGAAGAATTTGGAAATCGTTCTCTGTTCTCTGTAAAAATTTCAAGCCATGATTTTAGTCCGGTCTCCATCCAGGGGAAAAAAAGATTCGGAGTTTTTGAAACACCACAACCAAGTTACGCATGAACGCATGTGTGTAGTTTTACCGTCGACAAACTCATCTGCGAATCTCTTGAAATTGGAAATACCATGTAGTGGAATAGATTTCAAAAGGAAGGAAATTTCATGAAAGTCCTCTGTTCTTCGTGAATGACTTATACGAGGAGTCAGGTCAGTGGGTTTGTTTTGCCGGACTGATAAGAATGTAGCTCACCTTGGAAGAGTTAGCGCCGGCGCACAGTGGATCGAGTCAATTAGAGAGGTCGGACATGACATTTTTGACTGAAACTGCCAATTTTTATGTTTAATTCATCTCATTTCATATTATAAGGGGTTCCTCTAGAAAAAGTTTTTAAGCGGAAACCATTGAAACCACTTTAGAAAAAAATTTTGTAAAAACGGAGTTATAAACGTTTAAAGTTTCCAAATTTTGTCCGACCTCCCTTATTGACTCGATCCATAGTGCGGCGGCGCGTGCCGCGTGTATCGAATTAACAGAGAACCTCTCGTAAAGAAATGAAGCCATCAGAGTAGTCTCCTCGGTGATGTTAGGTGCGCGCCGGGAAGGGTAATTTTATTAATATTAAACCTCCTTAAAATGGTTATTGATGGCCAAAGTTAAAAACTGCGTACCTCCAACTGCGCAAATATCTGCGAGGGCCACTGAACTCGTAGACTGACCATAACAATTCCTACGAAAATGGTAGAAGTTTTTTTAATGTAAAATTGCCACGGAGATACGCATTTTTCGACTTCGCCGTTGATGGACGTGTTTGTAAGATGTGCGCGGAAAAAATGGATTGCTGATTTAACGACTAAATTGTTAAAATACATGTCCGACATGTTTCAATGTAGATTTTACAAATAAAAATTTAACCACCCTCATGGTTAAATTAGCTTTCCGCTATTGTAAAATGTACATTTGGACATGTCGGGCGTATTTTTTTTAACAATTTAATTGTTAAATCAGCAATCCATTTTTTCCGTGTACATATGCAAATGTCATGTATAAATTCAAGTCTCCCTCCCAAGAATTCTCGATCCTGGGGTGCAGATTGTTCTAGGCCTCCCCAATTTTCTGCAACGTGATATAGATTTTCGCAAACAGGACAACACAACGTACTGATCAAAATTTTGTTTTTTCTGATTACTTTTGAATTTGTTCGCCAAAGTGAGATTATTCTAAAACCAAATTTAGTGGTGTATATTGATGATTGAAAATCTGGAAATTTTCGAAGAAATAAGAAGTAAAACCTCTCAGCCCTCACAATATTCAGGGCTCTGATTGGCCTCAAGAATATCACATGCTTCTAAATTTCCCGTCTGAGGGAAAATATTATTTTACGTTTCAGTTATGGCTCTCGATGATTTTAGAAGCGCTCCAGCACCATGCATGTTGCATTCGTCTCCTGTACCTAGGAGCAGTTGTTCGAGATAAAAGTGCTGGGCCCAAAAGTTAGAAAAGAAATCAAATGATAAAACCAAAGACATTTTAGCTAACTCTAGCAAGCTGGTTTCAAGACTGGAAAACGTATATATCATTGAGGCTTTGCGGAAAATCTCAAGTTTTCAGCGAAGAAGTTAATTTTCAATCATCGGTTCATTTTTGCTGCACTGTGATTTAAATGCAGATTTCACTCTTTTTTTTACCTAAATATTCTCTAATTTTTAAATTATATTACACGCCGAATAAGAATGTAGCAAATGCATGACTTGAAATTATGGAAAAAGGGTTATGGGATTAAATCAGAATAAAAATAATAGGGAAAAATAATAATATTTATATTACATTTGAAAAAGACGGAAGAAGGAAAGATGTGTTCAGGAGTATTTAAAGAACAGTGGATCGCCCTAACAGGAATTTCTGCGCTTGAACTTGCTCAGTAAAATATTTCAGCCATACTCAGGTGTTCAAACTAATTAGACCTGAGGCACCCGAAGCGGATATACATTGATCGTCGCACTTTTTACCCTCTTGACGTCACATTACGGCACCGGACACATTTGAATCGCATGGTTATAACGCCTGTGCCGAGTGCCCCCTGAACCTCACGAGTCTCCGATATGGCGGTTCAAGCCGAAATGCGATTACCATTGTTTATCTGCCTCGTGAGGCACCCCTGTAAAATTGGCTGTCGGCCAGCTAGGAGTAACCTCCCCCCCTTCCGC